TCTAATGCTTCAAAAAGAACTATACTTCGTCAACTGTGTGCAAAGTTATGATAAATGAGCTGTTCGTAACCAAAACTGTGTACGCCAAGCATGGAGATATGAACAAAAAGACCAATCCTTAATAAATTTCTAATCATTCTCCTAAAACTTAAGCTCGTTTAATGGCGTCCTTCAATTGTGTTTGCCGTTATGTTTCCTATTTTTTGATATTTATCAGGAGAAATGCTATCTTTTAATGGTGGACTTTTTTTGTTTGACGAATTAAACAAAATATAAATTTTATATTATCCCTATAAGTAGTACTTTCCCATCCATTCAATTGTGTGGCTTCCATCCATCTGTTCGATTTATCGCGAAATTTTTCTTTGTTTTAATTTATTTTGATCAATTTTACAATTTTTAATTATTTCTGGAAGTCGATATCAAACTGGTCCTATAGAACAGAGATTTGATAAATTAATTTTCTGTTCTCCTCGCTCCTTATGCGAGTGCTTGCCTCAACATGTTGCGAATTTGTTTTCTGTCCGGCTTAGTAGCGATTTTTTTAATTATCCGGATTGGAACCAGTGCGAAACCGTACTTTTTGGCAGTGCGAACCTCAACCGGTAAGTTTTAAAAACAAACTATCAAACTACCGTTTGTTTGTCAAACAAAGGTAGACCCAATCTTGATACCCGATCCAGGTTGGAACTGAATCAAACATAAATTCAGTATTGTGCATACGACAGAAAATCAAAACGACATTTCTCGTTGGCATCACTGGATTTCCTTAGAGTCGGTGTATAATGAGTCACGCCAAGAGAAAAACAGTTGAACTCGCATCACGGTTTTCGAAAGATTCCCATTCTTTTCACTTGGCAACAGAGGACTTCTACAACAACTTCAAATGACTTCTAGCGAGAGAAAAAAAATGCGGCTGTAGTAAATCATTATATCAGTGATTTTGTCAAATTATCTTAACAAAAAATAGTAGAAATTCTCATTACTGATCGTTACCGAACGTATCCCATGACAATTTAAAGCTCACTGCGTGTTTATGCTCATTTCTTCGATAATATTTTATATTTTATTGCAATACCTTTCGTGGACCTTTCATAGCATCGTAATGTTTATTTACTTTGCCCGATAGGTAGCCGGTTTGACGGTTCGATAGGTAGACTTGGCTTCACTCTTGGCGTGACTCATTATACACCGACTCTAGATTTCCTATGTCGTTAATGTTTATTTTTGACGTACGGAAGTTGCGTGTCCCACACGCGCATTCTGATTTGGTACTGCGGAGTTGCTCGATTTTATTTTGCAAGCCAATTGAAAACTACTTGAAATTTTTCTCAAGTTTAAAACTGTTTTGCTGTTTCTCAGTTGATTCCCGCCGAAAGCTCTGAGCCAGGAGTGCTCGAGCCCCTATGACTCCATCAAATTTTGTTTACATACATGTTACATAGTATGTTTTTTCTGCAATTAAAAACTCAGCTGCTTTTTATACTTTCATCACTGAGCCTGTCGGTTTTGTCTTTGAGCTTAAAATTAAGAATGTTTTATGAAAAATTATGGATAATTTTATGAGATTACAATGCTTGACGGTAGATAAGAAAGGTAGGTGCATTTGTTGCTTCTGAATGTTTGGCTTCCGTTTGACAGTACACACTCCCAAGTGACAAGCACATTGAGTCAGTCCGCAGTACCCAGGTAAGCACGACGATATTAGCAACCGGTGAAAACTAATGATTTTAAATTAGCTCACTTCTTGACTAGCCTATTGGTCCCAAACAAATCGATTAACGTACCCCATTCTAGTCGAAATGCTAGTACTACACTATGTTTTTTTTTGATTCACTATGAATGTTTGACAGATAAAATGAGAGGTTCATGGATATTCACATGTTTCGAGGGATGCATCGATTAGCTTGGGACCGAAGATAGTACCAGAGCTGAGCCAAAAATTAGAGAACGTTTCTTCGGAACCTTGTGGTCTTATTGTTATCTCTATGATATTAGTATTCTTTGAAGCACATTTATTAAGAGCTTTCTCTTCCAACTAATACATGAAATTGTATATTGTGTGGCTAGCAAAATGATACACTATACCCAGGGAAGTCTAGAAAATTTTCAACTCGAAAGATCTTCTAGACCGTACCATGAATTGAACCAACCACCTCCGTGCCTGAAATGACTAGGCTATAGGAATATGTCATACTGATTTGCAGCCATTCCATAACAAAATGATTTATTGGTTCTCAGAATTTCGTAAAAATTGATAGATTGATTAGATATCGTAAAATATTAGGCCCAAAAATTATTTTGTAACTAGGGTGACCATTTACATGTTGGGGTGGTCCAAAAAAATTACTTATGACTTAGATTAGCTGACTATGTAGCTATGTGTCTATGGAAACGCATGGTAGTCTAGTCGCATAGGAGTATTGAGTGAAAACCCAAAACTTGAAAACTTAAAAAAATGTTCTAAGTGTGTAACTAATTTTACACGTGACGGAATCCATCTTTGACACAAAGGATCAGACGTAAATAAATATGTCAAGAGTAAATTTTCATCACGTCGAAAGTAACAAAGGCAAACAAAGTCGAGCTAGCAGGTCAATCGATGCTCCTGCTATTGATCCTGATTAAATCGAACTGTTTGTTGCTAAGATGATTTCGGTGGTCCTAAAATAATGAATGGGCTGCACGTAAGGAGACGTGATTGATAATTCTCCCGAATATCCTGGTAAATACACTTTGACTTAAGTAACATTAGGGGGCCACTAAACGGCGTATAATAACTTTTGACTAAAAACCAGTATTTTTCAGCATGAAAGCTAGCGATCTGCTTTGTATGATTAAAATCCTGCTAAATATGTTAAAAATTACTATCACTATGTGTTCAATTGGACATAGGAGTACCTTTTCGGTCATCAAAACAAAACTTTATTGTTCTCGGATCGGTACGAATGTTACTTTCGGCGTGCTCCGAGACTTAAAAGTTCGTTACTCGACGAAAAGAACGTTTGTTATTTTGTCGCGTCTGTTATGACTCAATTTCATGTCATGCCCCTAATTTGGGCCTAAACATAAATTCAGCAATCGTATAAATTTTCAATAGCGACTTAAAATATCCATTAACGATGGGCTTCTTAGAACCAAAGGCCAACATTAGAGCCATTTCCGCTACAACTAATGTTTTTCAATACAAAATCCCATTTTTTGAATGCCATTATAATTTTTTTTCTAAAAAGCATTTTTAGTTACCTTTCATCTAATATTTTGATCTTTGAAATCAGCCTAGTGGTTCAAAAGTTATAAATTAAAAAAAAAAGGCATTTTTGAGAAAAAAAAAGGTTTTTAAACGAGGGGGACGACTCTATCTACGATGCCAAAAAGATTGTGTTTTGCTGTGGCTAGCTGCGCGCACGCTGAGTAGATAGAAAGAAGATTGATGATGATTCTGAAGATTTACTGCAAAAAGATGATGAGCGATGCAAGTAGATGCGACAAATGAAAGATGATTTTTCGAAGATTGATTCGCTTCTTCTTCTTCTTCTTCTTCTTCTTCTTCTTCTTCTTCTTCTTCTTCGTATTTCAAGCTTATTGCATATCGCATATTAGCTTATTGCGTACTCTCAACTTAGTGTTCTAGATGCACTTCTACAGTTATTAATTGAGAGCTTTCGATGCCTGTACCATTTTTGCATTGGTATAATTGTGTGGCAAGTCCAATCACACTTCTATGCCCAGGGAAGTCGAGAAATTTTCCAACCCGAAAAATTCCTAGACCGGACCGGGAATTGAACCCAGCCACCTCCAGCATGGTCTTGCTTTGTAGCTGCGCCTTTACCGACTGAGCTAAGGAAGGCCGCTAGTGTGAGATTTGTTGAGCATCTTAACTTGAGATTTAGATGTGTCGCCCTCGTTTTTGAACCACTTTAACATGGAAATGGTCACCCTACTGACAAAATTAAATATATGGGTCTAATATTTTGCGATAAAGAACAAAACTAACAACTTCAACGAAACTTTAGGAACCACTATATCGTTTTGCTATGGAATGACTGTTTGTATGAATTGATTAAATGTACACAAGGACTATAATAGTCAAAGCTTCACTACAATAAGTGACTATCCACTTAAAAGTTTCTTGAAATTATTGGTACGGTAAGTTTTACAGCTTCCGTAAGTTAGCAGCGCCGTATCTTAAATTGAATGTCGGCTGTGAACTGTTCATTCACAAATCAGTCTCCCACACAATCGGGCGCATGCTTGCTGGATCATACCTCGATTTTATGTACATGTGAAGGTACGAGCCATCTGTGCATAAATACCTATGTATATGGATGAATGAGAGACGTGTTCATTCAGTTGTTCACAACCCGAGCAAAGCTGGCGATCAAATTGAAATCAAAATTTGCTGTTGCTGTTTTTTGACTACTTCAGTTGGTCTCGTTTTTTTTTTTTATAGATTAACCGTTAACTCAGCAAAACTGAGAGCATAATTGTACACTATTGAATCAAACGGAAAACTAATCATGCTTTCAATTACATCAATTTGATTACTGATTTTGCAATCACAATAATTAACTGAATACGGGCCTGGCGTAAATGGTAAGCATCTCGCTGAAAGACTTGAGTTTAAGTCCCACCTAAATGGCCTTAAATGTGTTATACAAAAAATATTGTTAGTGCAATGACTGGTGATAGTAAATTAAATTTTTAACGTCTTATTATCATCAAAACTTGAAGTTAAATTGCATATATTTAAAAAAAACTCTTGAATGCATAGTGAAAGCTGAATCGCGATGATTGAAATCAAAATGAGTTTTCATTAAGATAGAAACAACAAACTTTAGTATCGATTTGTTTTCATTTTGTTATCCGACTTTTCTCGGGAAACTGCTGCACTTGTATGAAAACCATTACAAGGCAGACAACTCAACAGAAAGTGGTTTACGTTTTTTTTTATTACTGTTGCCATTTATGTACACTTTCCTTTCGATTGGTAAGTTTATTCAAGTTTACAGTGTAGGCAAAGTCATCCTTTCGAGAGGGGAGTTAAGTTTCAACTTGATAAGAGGATGACATCGGCGGTCAGTTTCATGGTAACATTACGTCGGTCAACATAGGATGATTGAATATACGGAGCGCTATTTCCGTGGGTTGGATTTGTGGTCGTTGGGGGTTGATGAAGCTTTCGTCAATGCGACTATTAATGGATTGCGAAGCTATTTCGTGTACTCAATATCGGATGAATGTGATAAGGTAAGCGTAACAGTGGTCAAGTGGTGTTATTATTGTTTATATTGGATTACTTTTGCAGTGTCCCTATACGAAGGTTCGCGAGATTAAACCGGCAAATGGTGATGGCAATGTTTTCAAACTGGACGTCTCACGGAAGCTAGGATTTAAAATATTCGATAGAAATCTTGGAAAATATGCATTTGACAACGAGTAAGTTCTGGGGAAATTGTGTGCAAGTTAATCTTTCAATACTAAAGAGTACTTTTTTGTTTAATTGAAGATCTTTTGTGTGCCAGTTTGACGCAAATTTGGGAGAATTCGGTGTATATGATTTGACAATTGATGATAGTGTCACACGATTTTGCTCGTTGGAAACAGCCAAACAGCCAGTTAACATTTATTTGCGTAAGTTCGATTATATTATGGAGGTTGAAATGCACAGTTATCTTGTGAGATAGAGATTGACAGTTAGGCAGTTATCTTTTACACCGTGACAAATAAATTCCCAATATATATTTCATTACAATAAATAGACTAGGGCTTAGATCTAGTTTTGGGCCTACTAAGCACAACCCGCGCTTTGCCCCTATTTTTCGAGTGGATTTTTTTTTCATAAAATGGAATATTTTCACTGCAGACGCCTTCTAAATGTATTTACCTTTCGGTAAGTATTGTAAGATTTGATATAGAGTAACAAATTGCTGAGATATTGTTACAAATCTAACATTAAATTCTTGACTCCAAACAGCCTACGGATTCTAAACTCGGCCTAACGCATTGAAACGCCATTGAATTCACTTAGGCCTATCGGATGAAGATTAAGATCGGAGCGCTTCTTTTGTTTTTGAAAATAATGGGTGCAAACATACATTCACGTGTTCTTATTTGCTTCGTTCGGTAGCTTTCGAACTAAACGCATAATTGACTGGTTAACGCTGAAATTTTGGATTTATTTGATGTGTTCTGCTCGATAAGTTAAAATGAGCGATTTGGTCCATGTAGTACTCTACCAAAGACATCATATCAAGAAAACTGGCAACTTTGCCAGTATCCAAGGGACAGATACAGCAGCGCTGCACTTGGGTGAAGGTGGAAACAGCGCATGAAATACGAGCAAATACACAAACCTTCCTTCGTTTGAAGCATTTACCTTTGAGCGGCAGATGACGCAATTTTGCCTGTTTCGAACGGTTGTATTAGAAAATGGAAGAGTGGCCAGTCTTCTTGATACGTTGTCTTCGTGCTGTTGCGGTTGCGGTTGTTGAATTTTCTGGCAATTTTTTTTTCCAAAAAATAAATAGCAGTTTTTTTCGTTAAAATAATTCAGTTTTGTTCAAAAAAGGTATTTACAGAATTCCATTTGCAAAGTTGAACACAGTGAATACATTTTTATGAATTAAAAATAAAATCGTTCTCTTGCACCTTAACATGTATGAAAACAATTTTTTTTTACACGGCCATATTTTTCTTTTACTCCGATATTCGACTAAAGCCAAGCTCGATGCAAAAATCAGACAAAAAATCAAAAAAAATATGGTTTTCTGACTTCACAACAGGAAACGAAAATTGTAGAAACATGTACCCGCGTAAAAAAGGGTTGGGAGTAACAGCTTAATCTATTATCAAACTGTCAAATTTTTCGCAACGAAGCAGTTTTGGATGCCTTGTGTGTGCGCGGCTTATAAGTCTTCTGACGAAAGAAGTCATCGCAAGTATAATCATCATTTTTTTTAAAGCTTTATTAAAGAGATGTTTAGCCTTAGGCTAGTTCATCTCTAAGTATAATCATCAGTGGATTAGCATTTTATTTTATTTTTCCAATTCTTTAAAGCATATTAGTAGACAAGGCTCTATTTTTGGCCTATGGATCTAAGATTGGGCCCATCGCTAAAAATCTGCTATTTATCAATTTTATCTAGATGAACGCGTCATTGGGACGGTACTAATGGATATTGTTGGTCGCTATTGAAAATTTAGTCGATTGTTGATTTATGTAGGGACCCAAATTAAGGGCATTTAAAGTGATACTCTAAGAAAGCCTCAGCGTGAAACTTTAAAAGCACAAATGTCAGCTTCCACAAAACATACAAATTTGAAATTGCTACTCCTTGTTTGCTGTGCTACTACAAACAGAGAGTAGCAATTTCAAATTTGTATGTTTTGTGAAAGCTGACATTTGAAGTTTCACGCTAAGGCTTCCTTAGAGTATCACCTTAGGCCGACATTACATCCATTTCCCCTATAATATAGTCGATTAGTTTCAAAATTGGTTCCAGTCTCTGCAAACTGGTTTATCATTTTGGAAGTGTGACTGAATTTTTTTGTCACGTAGTTTATTACTTATAAGCTGTTTATTGTTTATGGAAATCATGCACCTATGAGTTAAATGATTCAAAATCAAATAGGGCAGATACGGCTCTATCTAATTCACAAACAGTTTTTTGCGACATTACAAAAAAATCCAACCATATTTGATTATATTGTGGTCAATTTAGTTAAAGTTTAGAATACACTCAAATCCTATATGATGTTGTAGCAAATAACTCAAGGAATATTTATTAAGAACATTTGAAAACGCAATCCCGATGTTTCACACCTCCATTCGATGATATTTTTAATAATCGGCGGTATGATGGCGTGATTTTTTTCTCTGTAAAAAAGTTTAAAGAGTCATGAAATGTGTCAATGAAATTTTGGCTGTTAGTTGCCCAAGTATTTTAAATGTATCGGTACAATTTTGAACGGAATTGGTTGAATCTGTTAGAATTTTGAGCATTTTAGCGAAATGCTTCGTTTTGGAACAACCTATTTAAAAATAGAATTTCCTGGAATACTATAAACTAAATATGCTGAAATTTTGCTCATGGATTGTCAATACAAAGTTTTTTCATGTACTTTAAGTTTCACTAAAATCCGTTTAATGCAAAAAATATTCTATCAAATTATTTACACCATCTGAAAAATTTGACAAGCTTATATACTTTTGTCCGATCTGGATTTTCACTCTGAAGACAAAAGTATATAACCTAAAGATTGTACTCGAAACTTTTTATTGTTTGGGTAAAAATTGATTAAATTGAAAAAAAAAACTAGTTTAGAGTGTAATGTTTACAATGTGCAAAATTTCGTCACAATCTGTCAAGTGATTATCGAAATGGCTTCCAAGCAAGAAGTGCTTCGACAAAAAATATGGGAGCGGTCGTGGAAAATCCAGGCCAGGCCAACAGTTTGGAATCGACCATTTGACCGTGTCCCGAGTGATAAAATCGTTCAAGGAGACCCAGACGACCCAGCGATGACCTGACAGCGGAAGAAAAGCGAAGACGACCCACCCCGTGAACGCAAGGAAGGTGAGAGATTACTGAAGCGCAATCCGAGCCTTTCGATTCGGGACGTGGCCAAGAAGGTCAATTCTTCCGTCTGGTTCGTCCAGCAGACAATGAAGCGGGCCAGACTTCATGTCGTCAAGGTAAGGAAGGCGCCTAACCGAACCGATAAACACAATACGGTGGCCAAATCCCGCGCCAGGAAGCTGTACCGCCAGTGGTTGGTGCAGCCGAAATGCATCGTAATGGACGACGAGCCGTACATTAAAGCGGACGCCAAGCAGATCCCCGGCCTGGATTTTTTCGTCGGAAAGTCCTGTCTGGCTGTTTTGGAGGAGTTCCGGAAGAAGAAGGTCGATAAATTTGCCAAGAAGTACTTAGTGTGGCAGGTAATCTGTGCGTGCGGAAAATTCAGCAAGCCGTACATAACTACCGGCACCACCAACGGCCAAATATATAAAGAAGAATGCCTCCAGAACCGCCTGCTGTCCTTTCTCCGGTCGAAGGGGACACTCTGTTTTGGCCGGATCTGGCATCATGCCATTACGCGAAACCGGTGATGGAGTGCTACGAAGCGAACGATGTTGTTTTTGTGCCGAAGGAGGCAAATCCGTCAAACTCGCCAGAACTTCGCCTAATAGAAAAATTCTGGGCGAATATGAAGGGCAAGCTCCAAAAAACAGGGAATTTCTTCAAAAACGACAAGGATTTGAAGAAAGAGTACATGAAAGTGAGTAAGAAAGTTGGCGCAAGTGTTGCACAGGATTTGATTAGTAGCGTTAAGTCCAAGGTGCTGGCATTTAGCCTAGGAGAGGAGGTTGAATAAACCAACATTGCAAAAACATGGCTATTATGTGTTTATTTATTCCCTGAGAGTTTCAAAAATATCCGACTTAAAATGAATATTTGGTGATCATTTTTGTCTGTTGCATTTTTTTTCGAGTACATTTTTACTCACGCATTGCTGCTGTGTGAAAAGAGGTTATTTACTTTTGTCAGAAGTGTGAAAACCCAGGTCGGACTAAAGTAGATAACCTTACCAAATTTTTCAGATGGTGAAACTTTTTTGTACTTAACGGATTTTAGTAAAGCTAAAGCAAAAATTCAGCAGCAAATTTCATTTTTGAATAAACTACTCTATAAAGAAGCGTTTTGCTAAAAATGCTCAAACTTTTTACAGCTTCAATCGATTACGCTCAAAATTGTACCGGTATATTTAGAATACTTGTTCAACCACCACGATTTAACAATTCACTGAAGTCTTTTTACGCGGTTTTTTTACACGTTTTTTTACACTTTTTTTTTATACGGTTTTTCGCGATTTACGCGGTACGTTTTTAACGATTTCTCTACAACGATACAACCTATCTACTTGATTCCAATCACATTATCCGTTTCAAACTATAGGTAATCGATGCCATGTTCTTAATAAAAAATCACAAGTTTTACAATCAATACAGAAATTTTTAAAATATGTTTATATGGACCATATTATGCTTTAATTACAAATGGCATCTAAATCCGATTTTTTATAAAACATTTAAGCATGTGAAAAATCAAAATCTCGTAGGTTTTTCTACACGTTTTTTTTTTTTACACGGTACTCATCCCCGGTGTAAAAAAAGACCTGAGTGTATTGCATGGTCTTCCGAAAAGTTATGGCTCTTTGAACTTGTTTGGAGAGCTAAAAAAATCGCGATGTTATTTACTTATGTTCGGTATGGTTTAAAAAAAATCTTTCCTAGAAAGCCGTGTTGCATCGTGCTACCATAGAGATAACTCTAAGGCCAGAAGGTCCCGAAGAAACGTGCTCTACTTTTTGGCTCAGCTCTGGTACTATCTTCGGTCACAAGCTAATCGATGCACTCATTTTATCTGTCAAAATTTCATAGCGAATCAAAACAAACATAGTGTAGTACTATAATTTCAACTTGAATTGTGTACGTTAATCGATTTGCTTGGGACCAATCGCCTAGTCAAGTACTGAGCCAATTTAAATCGTTAGTTTCCACCGGTTGGTAATGCCGTGCCAATCGCATTTCAATGAGTTAGATTGGAATTGTAACTCATAAAACAAATTTGGAATCAAGAAGTAGTGCTATTAAAAAAAAAATTAGAACAAAATATGGCAAGGAAAGTGATCTAGAACTAATCCTTGGTAGAAACATGCCTTGAGGTGACAATTGAAAACATTTTTAGTCCTGGACCTTTAGCTCTACTGCAGAACCAGCAACCCATTTCAGAATGCATGGCAATTCATGTACATTCAGAGGTCACTTTCACATACAATAAGCCTCGCATGTAAACATTTTCGTTTCGCTATCAATTCTAGATTCAAACACATAATGTTTTCAAATACACATACGCGTACGTTTAGTAAAAGAAAAACGACCGAAGCATAAACCGGCTAGCGTGACGCTACAGCAATACAATTATTCAATCCCAATTCTTGCTCGGTAGTTTTCTCAATAGTGTACAATATTAAAACACTGATAAATTAATCATGATGAATCTTGATTTATACATATGATAATAATGAAAACCAATTTACTTTTTCCTTGGTACAAATTAAATCCAAGCGAAAGAGCCTACTTCGCACTCGGAAATTAGTCATTTTTTATGACCTAGAATTCAAAAATGAGTCCAAGCTTTTGAATTGTATACTTTGCCTATGCACAGTTCCTGGTTTAAAAAAAAAGTGAGATGTAGATTTATTTTCTTATGTCACATATCTTTTTTTTCTAATGGGTATACAAAATATGTTACACCTTAATGATTTGTCTTTTTATAGAGCCTTCTTCATATAGAAACTTCTAGATACGGAATCTTAAAAAAATGTCCAAATTTTAATCCTCCCGTAAAAATATAAGCCAGGCTGAATTCCCATTCTTTTCGAAGTCTTGAGATCTCTATTATTATTTATTTTGTTGTTATGTTAATGTGACTAGCACTTTTCAGGTCATTCGTGACTTGTCCGGGGTTGAGATTTGCACTTGTGACATACAATGCAACGTAAGAGGCTAGGATTTAGTACCAGGGCTGTCCCCACCTTGATAAATTTGTCTATGTCCCAGAATATAGAAGATTGTTTCTAGTTTGAAGCCTATTTGATGCTGAGGATCATTTGTATATATTTAATGATAAGCTTAAAACTATCGGTAGTTTTATATAGGGGAAATGGATGCAATGTCGGCCTAAATGCCCCTAATTTGGACTCATACATAAATTCAGCTATCGACTAAATTTTCAATAGCGACCTAAAATATCCATTTGTACCGTCCCAATGACGCGTTCATCTAGATAAAATTGATGAATAGTAGATTTTTAGCGATGGGTCCAATCTTAGATCCATAGGCCAACATTAGAGCCATTTCCCCTACATTGACGGTTTTCACCATTGATTACATTTGTCAGCATTGACATGCATTCACTATGATTCGCATGCCATTATACCTACGGTGAATACATTTTCATGCAGAAAGTGATCCTTTCAGTATGCTAAATACTTCAATTAGTCATTAGGCCTGATTTTGGCGCTCTCATTAATCCATTTATAACGCTTACACTATTCATGTCAAAGGAAACTACGTATAAAGCTGTGCATTTCAACAATCACTTTTAATTGGGCATACACCGCACCTTAAACCATGCTTTGATTTCAGCTTTCCTAACCATCGCTCTCGTTGTTCTGGTCCTGACCACTGTTTTGACATGCGGTTTAAAATTTTACCATCGAATCAGTTCCACACAGTTACCACTCGCTCCAGCAAGTCCCACTAGTGAACCGACGACTAATGAACCACGAAAAGTGCGTTTGCGAAGCTTGGACACCTTTCGGGGAATCGCTATTATGCTAATGATATTCGTCAACAGTGGAGGTGGCCATTATTGGTGGATGGAACATGCCACTTGGAATGGATTGCACGTGGCTGATCTAGTGTTCCCGTGGTTTTTATTTATAATGGGCGTTTGTATTCCAATATCCCTGCGTTCACAAGTCGGTAGAAATATTCCTCGCAGAAAAATTCTCGCGAATGTTGCTATGGTAAGTTGGTATATTTTTAACATAGGAAATTATAAGAAAGGAAAACCATCCCAACATTCCATATTTCCACGAAACCCGTGAAATTCTCTCTTGTTTTGATGAAAAAAAAGTTAAAGAATTGCATTTGGTCATATACATGTGTTCAGCATAGAAAATTGTAATTTTTAGCGATAATGCAAATTATTATAGCACATTCTCAACACAAGACTTACATTCTAATCTTTGAGTTGGGTTAGTGAGCCAGTTATAGCATATGATATGCACCAGTTTTGGCACAATCCCATACATTCAATGGTACCAGTTTTTGACCCTACCAATGTGAATCATTTAGACCATGACTGATACATGACAAAACTGGTGCAAATTTTTAGCAGTTGCATAACTGGCACTACAAGAACATTTATGCAAACATATATTTGATGTAATTCACGAATGATACATTTTAATGTATTATACTATACATATACAGTTATTCCATAGCAAAATGATATTTTTTTTATTTTTTTTAGAGTGACTTTCATCCTGGTTCGTCACTTTAAAACTATATAGAGATTCTAAGAACCAATATATGGTTTTACTGTGGAATGGCTTATATGGGATATATTTTTTTAATTCAATCGATATTCTCTAAAAAGCTTACAAAATCCAGCATTTCAGAACATCCGTGTATTATGAGTGACCTGAATTTACTCTTTGTATGCTATGTACTGAAGACACACGTGTTGCTTGTATCACAGTTCATTGAGCATGCCTTGCCTGATGGTCTTAAATAATTAAATTCTATTTCCTTTACCTCTAATTGAAAACTGGTATGCAGGAGAGTTAAAGCTACAATTTCCTACATGTGCTTGATAGCTGCACTTCCCTTATAATACAGTGAAATGCTAGACATGAACAAACAGTTTGATTTTTCCATAGTAATGTCCAGATAAACGTCAAAAGTTTATGCAAATGCAGACTTTAATCAAATTAGTTCGAATTTTAGGAAGCTATTTGGTACTTGCGAAGCGGAAAATTTCAAGTCTTAAATTTAATGGAACACATTTGTTGCTGCAGTTCTGCTTACGTGATTGATGAAATGGAAAAGATTGATATGCTTAATGTGGGCTTAAATACCCCAAATATTGGGCCTGCATTTAGAAATTATTAGCGACTTTTTAACCGAACTATCAACAGCTGAACATTCTCATTTCAAAAGCTGTTTCACTATTATATATTTTTAAAACACTGTCAGCCTTGTCTAAATTATCGAGTCTTGCCATTGCGGTGAAGTTTTCCTTGTTTTGATGCTTATGATGCTAATGAATGAAAATGCCTGATTTTTACTGAACAGTTAAGCTGTTGAAAGTTTGGTAAAAATTAGGGAAGTCGACAATCATTTCTAAGTGTGCATACATTATTTTCGAAATAAAGCATTTTTAAAACATTGTTCAACCAATTTTTGCCATTTGTATTGTCCTGATGACATTTTGCTACTAAGAAAAAAATAAGAACAGAAAAATTTAATCTTCCGATCCCTAAAAAAAAAACTTCATAAAAAAAAACATATTTTGTTTAAACATTTATTTGTTCTTATACTACGTTCGTATAGCTGCTATCACGTAATGTAAGCTATCTTGTTAACAAATATCATATATATGATTTGAACAAAAAGTATTACGCAATATCAGCAATATAGTTTGAACATGGTATTACACAAAACTGTACAGTTGTCAAAATCTTGTCAGAGTTCAATTTCATCATCTTATAGTACGTGACGCTTAATTTTGAAGCGTTAACAAATCAAAGTTTTCCTCGATAAAATCACATCCAAAAATGCTCTAAGCCGTGATGTACTTTGCTGCCGAAAACGAGCGTAGAAAGTTATAGTTTACCCCCGACTTGGAATGAGGTCTTCACTCTTTTCAAAACATTGACACACTACATTTTCATTTCAAAATTAAAAAAAAAGAAAACAATCAAACGCGGTGTTAAATTGTTTCAATCGCACAAACTAGCTTAAGGGGAAGCTCACCGGCCCAAAAATAAAAAAATATTTTCGGTACGTTTTTATTTTTCTAAAAATATTGGGAAAAATTATCAAAAATCCAAGAAAATCAGTTTCTTCCTTAGATTTTTGTCAAAAATTACATGCAAAAAAAATTTTTCTATCCCATCATGAAAAAAATTGGACTCTCAGAAAAACCGAAAAGTTGATGTTTTGTGGTTTTTTGAGTCCAACTTTACGCCATAATGACTTATAAAACATGTTTTTGCACGTGAATTTTCTTTAAAAAAAATAGAAAAAATGTGATTTTTTTAGATTTTTGATACTTTTTTTCAATATTTTTAGAAAAATCAAAACGTAATTTTTTTTTCGGAGCGGTCTGCTTCCCCCTTAAATTGTGTTAGTACATCAAGAAAAACGATACACACTAACAGTAAAAATTAAAAAAATTACCATTTTGAATGTAACAAAGTGCTACATTTTACAATAGACTAGTGGCATACTAGTGGTGATAGAACTTTGAAAATTGCAAATTTTGATTTTTGTAAAGTATGAGAGAAATTTTTTTGAGTGAGTAGTCTACCGTTGTGCGAAATGTCAATTTCTTATAATTGAAGGTGAAGTTTCATGGCATTGAATGGTATACTTACGTCAGTTAATGAAAATGTTTGCAGTTCATCAGTAATTTCGATAAATATTAATAAAGCTCGAGAAGCTTCTTAGCTTGTATGATACGAGAAGCAGTTCTTTAACTTTTTGATATAGGTAAAATACAATGAAAAATAGTTTTGGGAAACTAGCTAAATAACAGGTCGCTACTCCTATTTTGGACACATTACAAACTTTATATATTTATATTCATCATTCTAAACACATAAATAAACAGTTTGACAAAATCCTAAACATTCTTCCAAAATTTTAAAATTATATTCATCACAACCGCACTTGAGTTATAGAAAATTTAAATAGAGTTGATATGCAAAGATAAACCATAATATTATTAATGTATCTTTCAGAGGTCATTCAAACTATTTTGCATCGGGCTGTGCTTAAATTCGATCAACGGTCCCAAAATGGCCGAATTGCGATTGTTTGGTGTATTGCAGAGGTTCGGCGTTGCGTATTTTGTTATTTCTGTGATTCATCTTTACTTCTACACCGAGAACATACAACTGCAAAGCAATTTAGCTAGGCATAACATTGATATCCTACGCTTATGGAAACATTGGGTCATCATGGGAGTTATTGTCCTCATTTATCTGTTGATCTTATTTCTAGTTCCCGCCCCAGGTTGCCCAAGGTAAATTAAAAAAAAATACGATCATCAGTCGTAGTCATAGCAACACGATCTTTTCAGTGGATACTTCGGTCCGGGAGGAAAACATCTGATGGTGTTGCATCCCAACTGTACCGGTGGAATTACAGGATATATAGATCGTATCATTCTTGGCAACAACCATATTTACCAGCACCCAACTGCTCGATACGTATACGATGCGTTAGCTTTTGATCCAGAAGGACTATTTGGATGCCTACCAACGATACTGCAAGTATTCCTAGGACTGCAATGCGGCATGCTCATACTTACCCATACGGAAGTTACTGCTCGAATCCGGCGACTAACCGCCTGGGGAATAGTTCTAGGATTACTCGGTGGAGTTTTGTGCAGTTTCAGCAAAAATGACGGTTGGATTCCAGTCAACAAGAATCTCTGGTCACTGTCCTATGTTATGACTACAGGTTCGCTAGCATTTTTCCTATTGCTTATCTGTTTTGTTCTGATTGATGTGAAACGAATCTGGAGTGGGAATCCGTTCCTGTATGCGGGCATGAATGCAATTATTTTGTACGTAGGACATACCGTTTTCCATAAAATGCTTCCGTGGCACTGGAGAATAGGGCTTATGAATACTCATTTTATGTTAATGTGTGAAGCTCTTTGGAACGCCGTGCTATGGAATGGAATCGCTTACTATTTGTTCGAGAAAAAGATATTCTATAGCGTGTAAGTCATTGAGAAATGTAAAATAAAAATATATCATCGTATTTTAATATGTGTTTTAATCAAAGTGTATTTTCGATGCTGTGATATCACAGGAACAGGACATTTCACAAGCACAGAAGGAATCATTATGTTTCGAATACAGTTTATTGCATAAATTTTCTTACTTACTAAAAAGTGGAATTGTTCTTACCACTAAATATATCCAATGAAAGTTTCTCCAATCTAATAATGCTGTCAAAAAGGACCAGTATAAAAATACCGTGAGCTCCCTTTGCGGCATACGTGTATAAAATGGGCAACAACTAAGTAGTCTTTTAGTAGCTAGTTTGTCTTATTACGACATAGTACGAAGCAACGACGCTCTACGATATGCTACAATCCCAACACACCAAAGAGTAGTACAGGCACGTGACCAACTTATCCTCTTTGTCCTTGTCATCCAACTCGCCATCTTCCCTTGAATCGGAATGATTTTTCATCTTCTTCTTTTTCTTCTGTTGTCGAAATGCATCCAATCGGGGCTCATCGGCAGGGGATATGATTTTAACTGCATCGACCGCATCATTATCGTTGATGTGATCGATCGTGTCGAGGTTTTCACAGCTGTCCTTCTTCGAATTGTTGTAGCTGTCCCGTCGTCGATGGCGGCGTGCCTCACCGATCGCAAGTGTGGCGGAATTGTGCGCGTAATCTGCAGATCGACTATCGTTGTTGGAGGACAATAGGGAAGACGCCGATTCTGCATTAGAGTAGTTACGATCTTTCTCTTCACATTCGTCTATCAGCTCCAGCGTGTCGAATTGATTACTGCTTGGAATGTCTTTCTATAGAGAGTAAAAAAGATTTCGCTATTAGTTCTAGACACATAATTGAAATAAGCGAAACAATCAAACCTAAACAATGACTTTAAACGAAAATTTCTCGAGAATCAAAACACACCCACATGGAGGTTGCTCTTCCAGATGCGGGTGTTAGATTGCGTCGATGTGTTTTGATTCTCGAGAAATTTGCGTTTAAACTAAGACTGACAACTTTACCAGAATCCAAGCGGCAGATACAGTATTGCTGCGCTCGAACAAAAGTGGAAGTCGCGTTCGCGTCTTCTCTGGCCGCGGCCTTAAGCGACAGATGACGCGATTGTACCTGTCTCACAGTGATCGTATGAGAAAACGGCAAAGTTTCCAGTCTTCGGATTAAAGCCATTGTTTACGTTTGGTTGTTCCGTCTATTTCAATTGTTGTTCTAGAGTTTACGTTTAAAGGGTTGTGTAAATGTGTGTCGCTTCAGTTGAAATGCAACTAGTAAGTGCTTATAATGATTGATTCAATTAATTTTAATCAAGCCCTTCCTTCCAAGCACCGGTGGATCGACCATTTTTAGATCTTTCCTATGTTTGGAAATACAGCTTTAAATAGTCAGCATTGATTGGAGACTCGCTATGTGCTCACTTTTGTTCTCCACACATATTTTTTTTTCCTCTATCATATGGTATTGTTTGTTCGCAAGATTGTTCTTTTATTCGCGAGAAATCGGCGATTAACGTATTTGTTTACAAAAGCAATTACGCCCAAATCTCAAATTTCTCCGAATCTAACAGCTTGTTTACGCTTTTCGTAGGAGTATGTATTTGAGCGCTGGTCAGTAATGTTACCAGATTTTTCAGGAACGTTACAATTTTTCATACAGAATATGTAGTACAGTTAAGAGATTTTAAATTAAAAATATACAGATTTTCTACCTTGAGCCATAATTTGTAAATCCAGTGACATATCAAAGCATATTAAACTTGGGTATATCTCTATAGTTCCCAGGATCCTGCGGGCTGTAGGTGTTCTCACTGAACGTTAGCAGAATGTCGAATTTATCACGGAGATAAATTCCGGGTGCCTCAGAGCAAGTAAATAGTATCAGTTTCGTTTTTGACAAATGCATCTAGAATATGTTTGAATAAGTCCAGTGATGCTAGATGGCAGACCTAAGGACCTTTAAGAGCCCGGAGGACTTTATAAATAGGCTCAGGAGACTTCATGGCGAATCCAGAAGATTGGCTTGACAATCTACAACAGTCGGGTCTATGGGTTCTAGGGATGCTTCTGAAAACTTTGAGAAGAGTAAAGCATATTTTTATTAGGACCGGTGAACTTTTTGTACTGTCAGGAGAACTTCAAATATGATGGTCTAGGACCTTTAAATATGCGTCATATTTTGTAAGATAGACAGTTTTTAATTAGGTGAGTACAAGTTTAATTTTCTATCGTGTTAAGTTGATTTGGACAACTTAACACGACAGAGCATATTTTGCTCACCGAATAAAGGCGTGTTTGTGATGTTTTGCTGTACCTGTTGTAAACCTTTAGTTCATTCTTTTCCTTTAACTTGTTAACGATACTCCATGTTGCCTCAAATGTTTTTTTTTTTTCTTTTATATTAGTAAGCTCCAACCGATATTATAGAGTTGACTCTAAGCAAACATTTTGCAGATCATACAAACAGTGCGGTATTAAAAGTTAATGCGTTTTGGAGTTTACCGCCATTAAATTACTTATCTTCTCAATATGGGACACCATTACGGAGCATGAGATTTGACCAAATTAGTTTTATTTTTTCAAGCCTCGGCTTGGTGAGGGGCTAGGTGATGCGAGCTGTCAAATAAAACCATTTGTTTTCTCTCCCGGTTTGAAGAAACGAATACAAGTATTTCAGTCCATCAATATAAGAACATATTCAAGTTAACCACGAATCATTCTATTGATGATAGTAGTGAAAATATAAGCCAGATTTATGGGGACGGCCCCATCGTAGTGCTCATCCCCGACATCCCCAACAAGTTACGAATTACTCACATTTTTTTAATAATAAAATGAAACCACATTTGTTTCCAAAGCATCAAAATCATTTCTCAAAACCTTTTTCTGAAAAAAAAAAAGGTTCATTATGCTTCTCCACCATAAAAATAAAATACCATACCCAAACGATAACCAAAATAATATAACAAATGGTTTGGATGATAACCTAAACACGTCGGTAAGCATATTAACCATACACATTTTATTAGGATATTCTCTTTCATGAATTTGTGTGAAATATTGTGCTGATGAGTTGAACTTAATTTCCTTCGCTTTAGGTGCTGTCCCTCCCTCTGATTGGTTCATCTATGTGCCATCAAATCTCAACGTTGCCCCACCGTGAGATCAAGCTCGCTCTACATGTGCTTTCCGTACAGTAGGGGTAAGCGCATCTCACGTTGTGATTCAACACCAACGGTTTATTTCTTGTAACTTGAGGTACACACATTTATAACAAACTGATAAGATGTAGTTACAAATAAAACACTCACCTTACTAATATCACCATTCAAGTCGTTCAGAACAACTAACTCCACGACCTGTGTCCCGCCTGTGCTGCACGATGCGGTTCCATCAGCATTGAGTTCAACGGGACTAGTTTTGCTTGAGCTTGCTTCGTCGGTTTTGTTCGCTGCCATTGTAGCCAAACTCATGGCACCCGTAGCCGTCGCCATGCCCACGTCCAGATTGTCGTGAAGATCTCTGAAATAGAATTTCCTACAGGTTTTTCCACGGAAATCACAACACAATACAGCAAAGTCGATCAATTGGCAACTGATCTTAACGAACTATTCGCGGCATATTGTTGGGATTAGTGTGAAATAATGCACAGATTGACCGCAACGAACATGCTCTCGCGCTTTGTCACGTCTGTCGGGGCTTTAAAGTATATGTAGCAGTGGTAGAGGCAAAGTGCCCCACACCATCAGAACAAAAGTGAGAAAATAAGTTGCCCACCATATGACAATGGGTCACTTTAGCAATGCGATGTGAATTAATTTTCGGCTCGCCAGCAATTATGTGGTTCAAGGTTTCACTTTTCCACCGACAACGGCACGCAAACAAAACAAGTTCGTTTTTTTTTGTAAAGTATGCAAATGTTGCTGCGTCGCACCAATACACGTCGTCGTCGATATTCGTGAATAAAAATATTGAACGCAGCAATAGACGACGTCGACGGTAACGATGGTGATGACGATGACGATGACGATGATGGTTGAACGTGAATGAAGAGAAGAGAGGAACAACGTGCATAACGAAGTGAAATAAAGAGTGAATGATTTGCTGACCAGTAAATGACTGTAGAGTGAGTGTCAAAGCAAATTGTAAAGAAATTCCAATACACAAACTGTAGATGATGATGAATCTGATCTATGTTGGTAGATTACTCAACAGGAGTAATCTCGAAGTCGTTTGTAATTTTTAACCATTTTCGTTATCGTAATTTGCAAATGTATATTGCCATTCGGCAGGAATTGAAAAAAAAATCTGAATAAATGATACAAATATTCCATCTTTCAAGCCGTATGCCTGACATTTTGGAAGTCACAGAGACAGATGAGAGACGCGTATTGCTGAATGAATTTAATTGCATTACCAGATTGGCAAATCAGAACAGCTTCACGGGTTCATAGTTGATTCACAACGAACAAAGGTGCATGTGAACCTGTATTGAAACATTGAAACTGTATATGTTGAGTTTGTTTTTGTCCTCCAAAACCACAAATTGATTCTATTACTAGAAACAACTCTCAATCACACTAGGTACACGCTCAATGTCATTTATCATCAATTGCCAATTGATTGTCGCAGAAATTGAAAATGGCTGTTTTTTTTTAATTAGTTTACACACGTACTAATTCGCGTAGTACTGTGATTGTGCACTGGGTAACTTCAGTAACAAGACTAATGGTATGTCACGGATCCCGTCTGCTCCAGTATCTTAATCTTATCAGGTCCGAAACGATATCACCGTTATCATCTATCAGTTTCTTTTTTGCTTTACATTTTGTTCTATCGAAAAAACGCCCGTAGCGTCGAAATGTAAAATATCGCGGTAGATAAAACACTGCAGATTGCAATTTAGGTGTATGATATGAGTTCATACTTCAGTTCATACTGTTCAATAGTTTACATGGCAACATCATCTACTATGTCTTTGAAGAGAGCACGGGGCAAGTCAGGCAGATAGTTGCATTTTTTTTCTCTACCAGGAGCCAATCATTTGATGCCCTTACACACGCTTGCTCCTACTCTCAACATAGTGCTGCTTGAAACATTTCTAGAGATAGATATTAATTGGAAGCTTTTTATGCCAACCAATGAATTGCATGAATTTGCATAACGTGTGGCAAGCAGTCACGGAAAGCGAGAAAAAGTGCAACTAAAAGATTTTCTAGAACAGACCGAGAATCAAACCCACCGTTTCAGAAGGGAGTGAGGGGGTGGCTATGCCGCCCTCCGCTAAGGATGACAAACCATAAGAGCGAATCCGGAGAGTTTCTTGCAACTTTTCGATGAAATTAATTTCATTGATATTTAATTCATAGACCTGGCTTCTCCCTAATTTAGTAACAATAACTAATTTCAGTGTTTTGAAAATTTCAAAAGTTCAAGAATCAATTTTCTGACAGCCAGAATTAAGATAATGTTTTAAAGTCCACGTTCCCCAAAGTTTTCCAAACTCTCAGGTCTTTAGAATTATCCGATGTACAGAAACAAGAAGATATTTTTATTACCTGTCACATTTTTTTTTGAGTTATAGATGCTAACCATTACGCAGGGCCCGTTCCACAAAAAAACACTATTCCGAAGGTCACAAACTATTGAACTAAATGCATATAATTGCATATCAGTCTCCTTTGGATTTTCATCAATTTGAGATAACAACGCTATCCACTATCAATTGATAGTGGATAGCGTTGTTATCTCAAATTGATGAAAATCCATGGGACTCATATGCGATTATAGGCAGTTTACTTAGGGAATTCTTCATTCCTTTATTTAACGTCGGTCTCTGTTCCGCAATCTAGTGCCAATCACCGACGGATATCGATTGCCATCCATTGACGGCAATCGAATGTGCAAGGAAGGCAGCTTCCACACCTGCGTAGGATATCACACCCATTCAACACACATGGGCCGAGACCAACGGCTTTACTTCCCTTCCGAAGGAAGACGTGACCAGAGATTTCTATGCCTCAGAAAAATCCCACCGACCTCGGCTGGGATTGAACCCAGTCCCATTGGGGTGAGAAAGCAGTCACGCTTACCACTACACCACCGGCGCCGGCTATTACTTAGGGAATGCTGAGGATAATTCTTAAAGAACAGTGGAAGTTGTAATGAGTACAATCCCATGGGATTATTCCAATGGAACATAGAGAAAACTTCCAAAAGTAGTGTAGGAGAATCCAAAGGAAACTCCGAGGATAATAAGTCATTCTGAGCGCAGAGAGCAATTCCCTATAAATGAATTACGATAAGAACTCCAAATGCATCCTGAAAAAAGAACCAAGTGAATTCTGATCATAATTCAAAGTAAATCTCAAGATAATTTTAAAGGAATTTAAAGGAAAAATCCAACTCCGAGGATAGTTTCAAGGGAATTACGAGGAAGATTCCAAGAGAATTTTAAGAAGAGTATAATGAAACTTCAACAAGAATTCCAGGAGATTTTTTCAAGAAAACTTTCGAAGATAATTCTGAACAGAATTGCAAGGAAATTCAACGGAGAGTTCCATGGTTATTCTGAAACGGATAAGTGGAAGTGAATATTCACTGTGATTATTTTTGAGTGACATTGTGTACTAGCGCAAACTACTAGATTCGAAGTAATCACAGTGATTATTCACTTCCGGTAAGACATACATGCGTTTAAACTTTCCCTTGTGTACCTTACAGAAATTCTCTGCCAAATGAGTAAACGACCAAGCCCTCATCGATTTGGATGTAATTTTCAATATGTCTTCGGTCATCGGTCATTTCGACTCAATACTAATCTTTCAAAAGGCCGTATATGTTTTCACATATGTATTTATTAAAGAATCATAATTCGCTCTGATTGTAACAAAATTGTATCTGAGAAGAAGTTGTAGAGAATCAATTGAGAACTGTTAATTGCAATTTTTACGATGGGAATATGATTTTAGATTTTTTTATTGTCTTAAAAGACTACCAGAAGTACCTTCTGTCAAAGCTCATTTACGAATTGAAAGATCATAGGTGATCAGAAACGTCTCGTAAAATGGTATATTATTACTGACGACAATCGAGTGCCAGGGAGGTGGATTCCATACCTGGAGCCTATCGAACATGGACTGGGACCAACGGTTTGTTTTGTTATTGTTCGGGACCAGGGTTGTTAATGACGTTAACGTCTTCAATGCGAATTCCCATTAAAGATGTTAACGGTGACGTTAACCCGGGACGGTACTTGAAAATCCAGCTTCTCACTCTCCTTAATGTTTTTGGTGAATGTCCTTCACTTGCAGAATGATTTGGTTCGGAGTTTCTACCTTAGTTTAGCACCTTGTACATCATGTTTGTCCAACACAATACAAACAACCATAAACAAACAACAATATCCAGCGCTTAAAACATGCAGTGCACTTCATTTTTCAACTTTCTGTCAGCACATGCTCGGATTTCGAAACGCTACCCGATTGTCAAGTCCCGTCCTACACTGTACACAAACATCATCCCCTGATCGAATGAAACCTCAGACCATTCAAAACAAAACACCGAAATCGCTTTTTCGAATGATAGCTGCAACCGGATGACGGTTGTTTTGAAATCAAATGATTTTCCTCTCGAATACAGGATGAAACTTGTTTGAGAAGGGATAGGGCCTTCAGTTGAAATGCGTAATGCTCTCTGCAGAATGATTGTCATACTAAATGGAAATGCAGATGGTATTGGTTCAGCCCCATCACGCAAATCATTCAAAACGATGATGTAAATAATTCTATCGAACGTCATTTGCTGATCTGAGCTGACAAACGAGGTGGAAGCATATGCATCGCTATCAGAGCTGTTACGAACATAGGTAAAGGATGAAAACCAATGTTTGGCTAATTCGTGTTGAGGGGGCGACCCCGCCCTAATAAAAATTGTATGTATGTTAATTTGCGACGTGTTCTGGGTATCATCCAAACCATTTGCGGAATAGTTCAATGATTTGGGTTATCGTTCGTTTATGGTTATTTTTTATTAGGGCGACGTAGTGGTGAACATCCTTACCTCCCACGAGTTCAAATCTCACCCCCGGACAAGTCACGAATGACCCAAGAGTGTTAAAGTGACTATAATAAAAAAAAAAAAAATAATAATAATTCGTGTTGGAGGAGGTTTTCCCCACCACGAAAATTTTTTGTATGCATAATGGAATGGCTTATAATGGCTATTCAGTATGGAATTGTAGATTATCAAATTATAAATCTAATTAAAGCACTTGCATGTCACACTATTCTTAAATGTTTGTCCTCTGAGTGCCGTATGTTTTATAGCTAATTTTCAAACGAAAATCATCCTGTATCCAATGGCAGTCATATGGATGTTCATCATCTGACGACGAATTCAACCATAAGAAAATCATCCGAAATTCGAATGCATATTGTTGGGCTCGAGCAATGCAATAATCATTCGAAGTATTGTGGATGTTTTGGTTCAGTGTAGACGTTAACGATTAACAATCCTGGTCGGGACATAAATCACTGCGTCCAACACATTGATCTTTTGTTATATGTCCGTGTCCTTTATTTAGTGCATGTGGAATGTAATGAAATATACGTTTTCGATACAGTTCATAATTGCTCTTCTCACAAGAATACTCATTCAATGGTGATGTTCCGTACCATCCGACCGTACCGCCTCATCATTCACTGCCTCGTGAGGGTCTGAATGATTGGGAAGTAAACAAGTCACTGACAGCATAGCACTCAGTAAGAAGCTCAGTCACCACGTTGTAGTGTTATACACAAAAGTGTGCGTGAGACTGCTTACTACCTTTTTAAGTAGTTGTGATATCGCGATACTTGGTTCTTCTTCTTCTTCATTTTTATATATGGATGTTGGATTTTAGTGTTTGTGAGATTGCGCTTGAAGATCTCTCTTGAACTGTCAACCAAGTACTTATCGTGCAAAGTAAACAAACATTGCAATGCTATGAAAGGTCCACGAAAGGTATTGGAATAAAATATAAAATATAATCGAAGAAATCATAATAAACACGCAGTGAGCATTAAAATGTAATGGGATACGTATGGTAATGATCAGTAAAGAGTTTTTCTGCTATTTTTTGTAAAGATATTTTTTTTAAATCAGTGATATAATGATTTAATACCGACAAACCGACATGAATGACCATAGCAAAAACAATACAATTTCTGACCAAAGCACACTACTGACATCTGGCTCCGTGTTAGCGGGAAATATTTAGCTAAGTCATGTACCCCCATGTAAAAGTTATGAATTGGTTCGTGTCTGATCTATTCTGGACAAATTATTTTTATCTAGATAAAAAAAATCCTATGGTTTGACAGTTCGGATCACTGCACATTTAAATCGGCCGTTTACGATTTTTGGGTATAAGTCAGAACTAAGCGACAAGCGATATTTGCCAATGCATCAGAACCCTGGTCCAAAACTTTTGTTTCCAATCTACCCGGTATATGCATTAAAAAAAATCGAATATGATAACCTTCAAACTTACATAGAAATTTAATATAAAATCTTGGACTTGAGCAAAATTGAGGCGCATGGAAAAGCAATTTTAAAGATCTCGAATATAGACACTTCGGTAAAACCTCGGACGTATACACATTTTCATAACTGTGGAACCTAGACAACTGTTCTAGATCGTAGTCTCAAGAAAAATTCTCAATATTCTGGAACGACGAAAATTTTCCCACTTGGTAATAGACATAGCAAATTTTACATGCGTTTATAGTTTAAAATCATGATCTTAAAAAGTTGTAAGATTCTGGGATAAATTTGAGAGATATTGGACATTTTTAAAATGGTGGGACTTATAAATTCGCGATATCTACCACAAACAAATTAAAATAGTGGGAAATAATGTAAATGCTTCTGAAACATAGATAAGCTTCATTTTTTTTAAATTAAGGCTTGGAAGACTTTCAAAATGAGAAAGTAAAAAAGCCAGAATATGGAAGCCAGAGTTTTTTTTTAACGTCAGAAGTTTTGTGATAACCTCGGCAATGCGAAAATATGAAATTGCATTCGGGTTAACTATCCCATTCCAGGCCTACTAAGCACAACCTGAACTTAGTCTTTCTTAATCTAGCGTAGCTTAGCACCAAACGGAATGTTATTATTACAGATGGCTTCCAAATTTATTTACCTTTCCATATGTACCGTTATTGATTATTGTTGAAAATGGAAACCTATTTCTGGCGGCTCAACTTGGCCTACTGGTTTTCTTGGGCCTATTAGCCATTGGAACGCCATTGGGATTCTCTTTGGCCTATCGAACAGTGTAACTTTTGTTTTCGAGATCTTATTTTGCGTTCTTAAACACTTCGTCTTGCAGCTATTGAATAGAAGCATCGTATCCAACGTTTGTTTGACACGTTCACGCCTAAATCATAGAGATATTTGATGTTTTGTGCTCGATAGCTCAAAATTCTTACTTGAAGCATAGATTATTATTTCGCATAACTTGTGACCATGGTTACTTCCACTCACTTGCTATAAAAAATGTTTTTCAGAATTATGTCAAGTATGTTTTTGACACATAAAATCTGTCAATATTGCTTTCAGTGCGTCACAATCAGCAATTTTACGACTCGTTAGTGCTCACTCTGAGTGAACGCTCACGAATCATAAGATCGCTTATTGTGACGCTCTGATAGTAAAATTGACACGTTTTATGAGTCAAACACATACTTTAAACCCTCTTCTCGCTACTTACAAGTACAGCATATCTAATGATCTAATGATGGCATAATTAAAAAAAAAATGTTTTTATGGCAAGTGAGTGGAAGTAACCCTGCTTCTGACTTTAAACAAAACACGTTATTCTCAATGGAATTGAGAAGAGACATGCAAGAAAATTCCAGTGAGGATCTTTGGCAAATTTTCAAAAGAGTCTTTATGGAATTTAAAGACAAATTCCAGGATGATGATTTGAGAATGCTTAGCAATATTTCATAGTAAGTTCCTGAAAAAATCCTGAGAATTCCCAAATTTTTCTGTTTAGATTTCCAACACAATTCTAAGATGAAATCCAAAAACATTCTTAACAATATTCGAAGGATACATTTCCAAACGGTAGCCTTCAAAGATAATTTAGATAAATTAAAGGGAAACCTGGCGAGAATTAATATAAATGCAAAGATAATTGTACATTGAATTCTAGGAATTTCCTAGAGGGGATTACAAAAATGGTATACAAACATTTCAATTGAATGCCAGAGAGAATAATTACATTATTCAGGGGAATCAAAGAGATAGCAAATCTGAAGAAATCTTGGGATGAGTCTAAGAAAGTTCTCAGAAACACATGAATGAAGAATTATCTTCTATAAATGTAAAAATTATCTTATTCTGGTAATTCAGACATTGGAAATTTGCTCAGGCTCCGGGCATACAAATTCTAAATTGGATTTTAAAATTCATAGACAACTGTTCGATTTAAGATTTTATGCTTCCACAATAATTAAGATCCCGGTCTAGGAAAATTCTTCAAATGGGAAGTCCATTATAAGTCTGATCAGAAAAATCCTCCTGAGGGGAAAAAATATGAGACTCCGAAGTACCTGAGACTAAGGATATTTTTTATGATTATCTATCCCCGACTAAGACAAATTAAGTTGTTAAGTCACATCTGAAAAGCCCAAATCACTTTGCATACATAGGTAGAGCAAAGTTCTTAAAGGAAAAAAGTACATATAGCTAACAAGTTAGCTGAATTCGGTCAAAATATAAGCAACAATATTTTAAGATTGCAACCAGTTATTTCCCGATTCTCCCGATTTATCCGAATAAGTGCCCACCCTGCCGATATCTAGATCAAGGAGCTAAAAAATATATAACAATATGAGTGATTCTGTCAAAACCAATTGAAAAAAATTGCGTTACCATCGCAACTATTCTAATCATATTTTCCACGATGATTTACAATGAATCGCAAATTTGTTACCAAATCAACCGTTTTAATATTATTTTTTTTTTTCAAAAAAAATACTTTACTCTCAACATTGGTCGTAAAAAAGTGAAGATATAGTGAATAAATTTTTGGTATAAAAAGTGACATTTTAGTTATCGACTTGAAAATATTAACCTAGTCACTAGAATGTGACCTGACTAGCCCTGCGTGACCTGTACTGAAAAACACAGCTGCTTCTATCGACAGCTAACATATAGTTGTAGACAGTTAAAAAACATAAAAGTAAACGTTTTAAATTTAATTATTTGTTAGAAAAAAAATTAAATAAATATGTTCATTTATATTAAAATCAGTGTTCGTTGGCCTATGAATAATTTAAACATCCGATACTCAACGAAAATAAATTGATACTTATATATTTCCATAATGAAATAAATTTTCAGCGCTCTGTTTTAAAACATTCATTCATTTGTAAAATTGCAGTGTTTTTACTATGAACGTTTACTCATAACTTTGATTTAACTCAAACAAGATTCCTTTCTGGAAAAAAATCTTACTTTAGTGCGGCACAGGTTGTAAGGCATAATAGTTGGGTTGTTTAGGGGTATTGAGGTAAATACATATTCGTCATCTGCATTAAAAATGGAACCGAAATCCAAAATTTCATCAATTTTGGTACACTGGAACTATTTTAAATAAGTACGATTACATTAGCAAAAATCTTAGCGCCCCTCGGCGGGAATTTGTATGGGAGCGAGCTGTCAACGAATAGTTTTAGTGTCATCGATCAAAAATTTAAATCTTGATTTAAAAATCGAGATGAATATCTACGGGATTGATAAAAATATCGTTGTACTCAGAAAACGAAACTCTATCACATGATGTATAAAAAATAGGTATATTTTTCGAAGTTAATCAACCCAATTCCTGACAAAAACACGCTTTTCACATAATCAGTACATAAAGCAGAATTGAAATCTTTGCAAGTTATAACTGTTACTGAAAACGCAAAACAATTTCTCTTAGATCCAATGTAGGTTTAGATTTATCAAATCCTTGCCGGGGATGAAATTTGAACTCTTGATCCTCTAGCTGAGACGCATGGATCCTAACCGCTACGCCAGGTCTGTCCCACACCAACATAAATGTTTTTTTATTTATCTCAAAAGTTCGAAAATACGGTACTATTCCGTTCAATACGGTACGTTTTGTCAGCCTATCTAGGTGCACATTCAACTTGGAACCACATAATTATCACGATTGAAAATGAATTTATCAAGCATTTTACAATAGAACTAATTGGCTCATTAGCCTTATAGATATAGCAGCTTATGGTGTACCTATACATTTCAAATAAAGAACGAGAGCAATAGCATAGTTAGTAGGTTTCACATGCACTGCTATAGGTTTGCAAGATAACTACTTTTGAGTGACCTCCGTTGATTTTAAACACTAACCCGTTTATGACTAAATAAAACATGATTCGTCAGCGATTTTTTTTTGCACTTCATTCGATTCCACCCGTCACCCCTTAAAATCGGTTTATGAAATGGATGCTGCTAACTTACGCATTGATGATCTTTGTCTGGTTAACTGTGCCTCCCAGTGTCCAGGATTCGATTTTTCGCTGCTGGTTGGGTAGATATTGGGGAAGTCCGCCTTTCGTTGGATTGTAGACACCCTTGCGATTGTGCTTCTTCCTTCCTGGAATCCACAGGATCCGTAAGTTACTGGAACTTTTAGCTTTGGGACCTTTGGAGGACATTCTGGCCATCGTCAATTGAAATCAAACACGTAGGGAAAATATTTGAATCGTCACCATTAGCACAATTATAACACACAGATGTCCCATTGATTCCCAATGATGAGATAAGTAAAGAATGCGAATAAGATGATTGGAACTGATGAATGCCTCACTATGTACCTTTTCTTTAGATTCAAATCCTCGAACAAGTTTTATGCACAATATTTTTATCAAAACACATATTCATACATGTATCCCGTTATCTCACTCCTCTTATATTTTTGGGTAAATTTGCATTATCACAACATTCCCTGTGCTACTAACTCAAAGTAGTTTCAAATCAAAGCTGATAATCCATTATATGCACTAACCGCACTTTAAAACATCTTAATAGTCTTAAATAATAAATTAATTTGATCACAGACTAAATCGACAAATATGTCAACATCTACCATTTTACACCTTTGAAAGACGTCAAACAGTGTAAGATCAGTAGCTGTATGGAGTGTTCATTCGTGATTGGAATTTAAACACGTATACAGTCACACATAATGAAAGCTTTACTTTGTTTTAGTGTGTGCAAAATAAGTTTCGTTGAGATGAATATTTTCTATCCACGTGTTTACCCATACGATTGCAGTACACCGGTGCATGTCTTAGCATAATGTGTTACCCCATAAATTACGATAGTAAAGCAAAAAGGAGCCTCAGTTTGAATTTGATTTTATTTTAAAGAATATCTATACATAACTGTTCACTAGACACCAGCACTACACTAAATTTTCACGGTTTTTACGAGATATTTTAGGTTCGTTTTACTCTTTATTTGTTCTAACGTCCAACTAAATTACATTTCATTATAATCTTGGTGCTCCAGCTATTACAGTAACTTATTAACCTTAATTGTTACGAAATAAATCTAAGTGTGTTTACATAGTTCCTTCTTTGGCAATTCTGTATTTTAAACAGGTTTTCTATACCTGTACGTCAGTATAACAATTGACATCTTAAAACTAAGAACTAAAACTAAATCTTATCTAAGTATAAGGGGAATTAATCGATGTTTGTATCATTGTATCATTATTCGAAGTTCTATGTACCTCAGTGGTGCTGTACCAGGGAGACAGCTTCAAACTATCTTCAGAACATTGTTCTGAATCCTTTAAAGTGATATTTTCCTGGTAGTGCAACAACTAGACCATATTGGCACAGCGTAAAGCATGGCCTGTCTCAAAACTTGTTTAAATATTAGAAGTTTATTCGTCAGGCAAAGTTTGGATTTCCTGTTTATAAGAGGATACAAACTTCTCATATATTTGTTACATTTGGCTTGAATCCTCAATGGGATCTTTAAAAGATAAATTTAAAGGATAAATTAAAAGTCCAAGATGAGGACTGTTCAAGTTATAAAACGGACACACACTTTCAGTCCCATCTTTTTTATTTGACTGCTTAGCTTAAGGCTTTCGTCGGCAAGTTTTGAGCTCTACTTATAAGCAAAATAGACAAAATAATAATCAATATATGTGAAGCAGCTTGTATTCTTTTTAAAATTTTAAATCACATGTGCTCTAAAATGCTTTTTATACTCATGTCAGTATTTCTTGAGCACCAGTGGAACTTCGGACCAGAAAGTGGCTCCACTTGTCAGTTGCGAAAACTAGCGCACCTAGCGGTAGATGGCATCTTCTACCTGCAGTTAAGATAGGCAGCATGCTATGATAGTGTGAGTGCACATAGAAAGCCCGTATGGAACGCTACTACAACACATCGCTTGTTGAGCAGAAAAACGAACCATTTTTGATACACCTATTTTTTTGCACTTCCCCTTCTGTTCTGTGGCACCATGCTAAATTTTGCAATTGTGTCAAGCCAGATATTTATGATTTCTGTACTTCTAAAATATGATACACACCAAGTATAATAAATATAAATATTGTAGAACAAATTGTTTGTACGATTTTGCATAATTTTCGGTGTCATTTTTCGTCCCACGTTTACAACTTTGGAAAATTGACAATAATACCTCAAAAATTATGATACTGCCGAATACAATAAGTTTAAGTTATTCAGTGACAGTTTTCATTAAATTTGAACTGAATATACACATTTGAAACACATAAAATAAATTTCGTTCTCACTATTTACTTTCTCAACACACTTTTTATCACATTTTGTTCTAATTAAATATTAAATTTTATATTTTTGGTATTTTGTAAATGCATTTTTTTTTAGAATACATGGCTTGGCGGTTCATTCTGAAGTTATGTGTTTGATTATCATTATTTTAAGCAATGCATATTTTTGTTTGGATCATACTCTATGTATATACATAAATATCCTTAATAAACAATAGGAATACAATTAAAAATCAAAAAGTTCCAGCCAATTGTTGAAGGCTGTTTAATAACTTGGTTTAACCAAAAAATTGGAACTACGTTCACAGTAACTATATGACTATTACTAGGTTTCAAAAAGGAAGCTCTAGGCTTATGAGGGATTATTATTTCCTTTGGTTTGTTTTTTCCGTCGATCTTGTTTTCCGTGCTGAGCACCAATGCTACCGACGTGCCAGGAAGGCAGCTCCCACACCTGGACCCTACCTATCGACCCATCAACTCATGAACCGGGGACCAACGGCTTTACTTCCCATCCGAAGGAAGGCGTGATCAGAGATGTTATGCCTCAGAACATCCCGGCGGCGCCGACTGGGATTGAACCCAGGCCTGCTGGGGTGAGAGGTAATCACGCTTACCACTACACCACCTAGGGATTATTATGAGTTGAGTTTTACAAGCGTTGGGAGAAATCTTATATTTTTGTAAATAACTGAATTCATTCCATAAATTAGGCTGGACATTATTTCTTCTTCCATCATATGAAGTACGCTGCATGCTTATATAGGGTTAATAGTTCTAATGTTGGCCCATGGATCTAAGATTGGGCCCATCGCTAAAAATTTGCTATTTATCAATTTTATCTATGTAGATGAACGCGTCATTGGGACGGAACTAATAGATATGTTTGGTCGCTATTGAAAATTTAGTCGATTGCTGAATTTAGACATGGGCCCAAATTAAAGGCATTTAGGCCGACAATACATCCATTTCCCATATTTGTTATTTTTGTGTGTTTACTGGTATTGGAAATCTTTAAATCCGGTGAATAAACCTGGTACCATGGGAATCAATTACTGATTGGAACATCAATAGCCGTAGTGGGAAAGTAGTATTTTACTATTACCAAATCAAAGTTGGTACTCGTGGAGAATAGAAGAACTATGAAAGTCACGCAAATTTGGCCTATTTTCAACCCCCCCTCCCTCCTTTGTCACATTTTTTGTATGGACCTTATTTTTTTTTTGTATGGCTCGTCACAATTTTCAAAACACCCCCTACCCCCTAAATGTGTGACATAATTAATGGACGACCCCCAATGGCTTTACTTCCCTTGCGAAGGAAGGCGTGATCAGAGATGTTCGCCTCAGAACATCCCGGCGGCGCCGACTGGGATTGAACCCAGGCCTGCTGAGGTGAGAGGTAATCACGTTTACCACTACACCACCGGCGCCGCTGATTTATGCGATATCGCGCTTAATTTTACGTGTAAATATAGAGTTAATTACGTGTGAGCCAGCTATCGCAAAGTTTTACATATTTTTTTTCAAACGGTGAAATACCAAGGGGAGAGGAATGCTTAAAATTGGTTTAAAAAAAGCTACGTCATTTATGGATGTTCCCTAGCATGCATGCATATTCGCTGGATAAAAATCAGAATTTTAACCATCCACAGATACAAATATTCTGTAATTTTCAACTACAACCTGGAACAGGTTTTTGAATATAGCATTACCATTTAACGATAATTTGAATTTTCAACAAACATTTAGATGAAAATGAAAATTTCAGTTTTAATTAATTGAATATTAATTTAAACTGAAATTTACATGTTCATCTAAATTTATATCGATGTTTGTTAAGGCTGAAAGCCTTATAAATAAAAGAAATAATTTCAATAGAACTTTTCACTGTTATGTAAAAATACAGTTGCATATAAAATTCAATGCATATGAATGGATTATTAAATACCTTCTCGTAAAATTAATAAAAAATACATCAATGAGCTTAATGTAAATTTACAAATTGTTTGCTGTGTCACTTAACATTTTCCCTCGTTTAATTTTGAACTGAAATTGACATAAACAACGAAATTGTTTGCAAGCTTGTATACAAAATCGCAGATTTTTTACGATATAGCGCTTAAATTTAAATGAAATATAGTGTAATTTATGCCAAATCTATCGTTAACTGCAAGTGCACTAGATATTGCAGAAATTTGCACAACATTTTCAAATTGTGTTGTTTTAAAATTAATTATTATTGTTGCTGGAAAGGTATGCAGAAATTAATTAGATACAGGAAGTCTTTTCAACTCATGTAAAAATCAAGTAGAATGTAATTTTCAACTCATGTAATTTTAGTATCCACAGTAATTTTAAGTGTTTTGCAATGCTACTTTTATGTGCTTTGACATTAATGTAAATTTACAAAATTGTATTGCCTATGTTAGAAAATCATACATTTTTTGGGTGCAAGATAAAAAAAAAAATAGCTGGAGAATGCAAAAGCAAAATCTCAAGCATATATTTTATAGATCTTCTAGATAGAGTTAGTAATAACATTTATTCTTCCTTGAATCTTTTCACTACACCAAAAAAATCCCATGAATTTTGCAACCATTGCATGGGGCATTTTCATACAACCAGGCGGTCAAAAATATTTCTATCATTTTTTCACAATTCCTGCTATTATTCTTGCTTTGTTTCATCAATATAAGGTGTGCGTTATCACTTGCAACATTTTCACGACCAACTTTTGAAAAGGGCCTAACTTTTGATTAATTAAAATTTAATTTTTACGATTTTATAACGGTTACAGTTTCAACCTTGTTTTCAGAGAATAAAATCTAATGAACAAAGACAACCTACCATGGTTTTTTTGGGGGGAACACCGTAAAAAATAAAAAAAAACCTTTTTTTTTTTGGAAATATGTTTATTTTTTTCAACAAATCTTCTGTAAAAAAAAATACAAAAAGCCATGATACAATAATCAAAATCAAATATGTTTCAACGAATTTCTTTTTATTCCTCTGTTACAATATCATCATGAACAAATTCTTCTTCAATTTCATCGACTGCTTTCATAAGTTCCTCCAAGGCATTGAAGTTATTAGTATTGACTACTGAATCACTTACAGAATTTTCAAATATCATGAAACTTTTCACGATGTCGGGATAATCCAGGGATACTTTTTTCTGTCGTCTTTTTGCCATCCAAATGGAACTGATCAGTGGGTCCGATTCATTAATGGCACGAATAAAGACATCATGTAAATTTTCTACTCTTGATCGTTTTCTTGCATGATGGGTTCGATATTTTTTTAAATGTATATGTTGACTTTCTGCTGCCTCTTCCGCTAATGAACCAAGTGGTGCTGGTGAATGTATGATTATTTCTCCATCATGAGCGAGAACTTTATGCACGGTTGCAGTAATTTTGTACCAATCATACAATTTAAGATAGAGCCTATATGTTTTTTTATTTATATAATATTTAAAAAAATATAATAAAAATATATAAATATAATAAAATATTTATATATTTTTTCGTAAAGCTGTGTCGTCACATGTTTTTTTCTTTGTTCATATAGTTCTGTGAACGGTTTCGTTACCTTCCATTTTTTGATATCCATTCTGTATGCAATATGCAAAAAGCATTCGAAAAATCTTATCCAAGCATGAAGTGGAGATATGCCGTAATGCAAGGCTTCTTCGTTTGATATAAATCCTTCCTCGAATTTCTCTGCATCATTCATTACATTTGGTGTTGCCCCACATATTGAACAATTCTGCATCGACGAATTTCCAGTGATATAAGTTAAGACTTTTCCGTCTATCATACTGAGGACAAAATCAAAATCAACAAGTATAAACTTGTCGTTTGAGAGTTCAATTTTCACTGGCGTTCACATTGCTCCTGTTCGATGAATTCCTCGATGCCAAATTCTCCATCAAGCCAATTCCGAAAATACGACTCAAATCGCTCTTTCGTGCGATTAGCTTCATGCCATTTGTTGATGTATTTAGTAACGATTTTATGGATCTTTCATCGAGAGGTTTACGTTTTTCCACCGAGATGTTATAATTTTCACAAATGAATTCAATGGCTCTGTGAACATTAACACTATGGCTTAATTTTGCGTCTAATAGATTAATAATGGTTCTATTATCCATGCTCACACTTGGTCTCAACCGTAAATTTGAATTACACTGGCGACGTTTTCCTCTTTCACTCAAATCCAAGAAAGGTTTTGAAGGTCGTCCACGTTTTGTTCCCGAGGCCGAGGTTGAGGCAACACATTGCTCCTGTTCGATGAATTCCTCGATGCCAAATTCTCCTTCAAGCCAATTCCGAAAATACGACTCAAATCGCTCTTTCGTGCGATTAGCTTCATGCTATTTGTTGATGTATTTAGTAACGATTTTATGGATCTTTCATCGAGAGGTTTACGTTTTTCCACCGAGATGTTATAATTTTCACAAATGAATTCAATGGCTCTGTGAACATTGTCACTATGGCTTAATTTTGCGTCTAATAGATTAATAATGGTTCTATTATCCATGCTCACACTTGGTCTCAACCGTAAATTTGAATTACACTGTAGTAGAAACTTGAAACTTTCAGATTCTCTTAGTTGAAATGTTTACTATCGACCAAAAATAACGAAATAAGGATTAGTGAAAGTCGATTTTTTTTTATTTTTGACCGCCTGATATCTGATAGTGCATTGGTATTAAGGCACGTTGAGCAAAATGATAGATTAACTCTAAAATCTCCCGCAACGCATCACCAATGGATGCAATGTGCTTCGAGCTATGCAAAGAGAAATATTCAAATAATGTTCGCTTCGGTGAGCCTTAAATTAATCAAAATAGCAGACGTACTCATAATGTGCATAGGGTGGGTGAGCCAGTAGTAGAAAAGCTAAGACAATTTATTTATTCAAAAATAAATATACGATCTGCATACAATTTTTATATGTCAATCTGTATTGTGTATGCATTTTTCGTGCGAAAACTTGTCCTTCATTAATCAGAACACTGTTGTAGTAGTTTTGGTAGTTGCTAAATGTGGTTCCTAATAGTGAAACGCATTGATTTCTAATGGATTCCACTATTATATGAACACTACCGCAACTATAGTAGGTGCAAAGGAGTCAAAATCTTAAGACAAATAAATTTCCGTCGTTTTAGCTAATTATGCTAATCTTATTCATTTTAGGAGAGTTATTGAAGAAAAATAGATTTAACTGGCCTTCCACCAATATTCCGGCATAAACTTCATACCGCAACTATAGGTACACCACTATTACTGGAACACTTACCCTACATGTTTAAATTCTATATGTCCAGATTCGTTTTGCCAAAACCACACGAAATCCTGGAATGTATTCTAAATTGTTTCTCAATCAGGTCAATTATTTGATCGGTCAACTAAATAGGATAGGTATGTAAATGACTGCAGCTACACCAACCACCCCTCTAGTGTAGAATAATAGCAACATAAGCTAATTGCCGCAACCTTTGTCTAACAGATTTGATAAATCTAAATTCATTCAACAAACCATACCATATTTGTTCATACATATCTGAATTTGGTTGGAAAGCATTGTTTTGACATAGATTAGCCCCGTGAAGTGGGTTGGATTCCCGGGGATTTTTCAAGTTGGAAATTTTATCGACATGCAATCACACATAGTTTCCTATTCCTGGCGGCAAACACATTTGCTATGCTCAGAAAAGTTGAGAAAATATTTTATTTTATTTGACGTCAATCAGTGTAGACCGTTTTACAATAGCCTTAAGGGGGTATTCCCAATCTTTTGCCTTTTTTCGGCCTGTTTTTCAATTATTTTTTTTCAAGGAAAATTAATAGTAATGCGCCTAACTCTTTGGGATTCTTGTTTATTGAACATGAAAGTTTACAAATAAATTTTTTTCGACATAAAAAAAGACATTATTGACGTCACAAAATGGCGGGAAACAGACCCCTGTTCGCCGCAAACGCCTGGACGGGCGAAGACTTTTCTCTGGAACGGCTTCATCTGAAACAGATTTCGTGATGAAATTAATAATCTGCATAAGGTTCTCTGGAGCTTCTCCCGTTGGCAGCAAAAAATCTTGCAAATTAACAAAATGGCGGCCATATGAAAAAACAGGCGATTTTTAGCCCGCTTTTTTGCAGCTTTAAGGTGCTTCAAACAATGTTAAATGTTAATATTTTTGGCTGAAAGTGGGAGAAGCTCCAAAGAATTTAATAAGGAACAAAATGCGCAAAGATTCAAGTCAATATCTCTTATAGTTTCTGAGAAAAATCTTCGTCCAATAAAAAAATGTGGTTTCGAGAAAAACGCGTTTAAAGTTTTGACTTTAGTTAAAACCATTTGGGGGTTCTTACCATTAGTCAGCTATGCCTGGACAACGAATTCGCTGATCGGAAAACGGCTTGGGGGGATGAAAGTATATAGTTTAAAGTACAAAAAACGTGAAAAAAAAATTTCATTTTTTGAAAAAAAAAAAGATCGGGAATACCCCCTTAAGTGCTAGTTTAATCTTTTTTATATGAATTACAATATGCCTTGAAAACAAATAAATAAAACTAGTACTAGCTGACGTTACGCAAGGAATTAAAATATTGTTTTAATTTGGTTGTTGTCATTGTAAAGTCAATGTTGTCGCAGTGCCTATTGTATGTGTCCATCATTTGGATCAAGAGTTGGCGGTTTGAAGCAAATATATTTTTATGTCGTAAATTCCTTGATTGTGTTTATAAATTTAAGGATGACAATAGTTCTATTGAATCAATGCGATGTGATACGATATTGTTTACGAATGAAATCATAACGAATTCACGAAGCTTTTTTAATGTTTGGATATTTATGAGCATACATCGAGCTGTGTATGATGGCAGAGGAAATACAGTCCAACATAACTTGAGAAGTGCATACAATAGAAACTGCTTTTGAACGGACTCTATTCTTTCTTGGTGTGTGATTGAAAAATGAGACCAAGCTATGCTGTAATATTCTAATATCGACCTTACATAAGCAATGTACAATGTTTTTATCGTATATGGATTGTAATCGTGAAAGTTATAGCAGAAACGTTTTAAGAAACCAAGCATGTTGTTAGCTCTGTTAATAATTGTGTTATAAAGATCGGCGAAAGTAACCCTGCTAATCCACAAATTTCTCGTTAGCTCGAAACTTTTTTCTGGCTTTAATACGTCCTTAGTTGTGAATTGAGAGATTTCTAAGCCTGTACCTTTTTTGCATTAGTATTATTGTGTGGCTAGTACAATGATATTCTATGCCCAGGGAAGTTGAGAAATTATCCAATTCGAAAAATTCCTACTATAGGCAACTTTTTGTAGTTGTGAATTTGAATATTTCAGATAAGTCTGCTCATAAAACTTAACTTGTGGCATGGTTCTTAAGTTGATGTTTTCACACTTTTTCTCTAGAATTTCTTCGGAAATATCCCAGGATTTATCCAGAGTAATGTTAAAAATTATCTAGATGAATGGGGATTCATTCTGCATTTTTCTGCACAAATTTTTTGGATTTATTTGCAGAGCACTTTAAAGATTCTCTCCAAAGAAATCTTGGCATTCATTTGCAATACTCTTCGAATTTTCCAACCAGTACCCGTACGTTATTATTTCAGGAAATATAAATTTAGTATGCATTGAATATACCTTTGCAAGGTTTCCACTTTTTATAGCTCCTGTTTTACGAAACTCATAACAGCAATTTAAACGTCAACGGTTGTTTAGGAGTTACAAACCCACATAGCGCATTTTGCACCACCCTTAGCTCAGCATTTTATACATTAAAAACGCTTATTTGTGATCGAAAAACAGTCGGTTTTCTCACAGATCAAGAAGCAGGTTATGCAGTAAGTTGATTCATATATCATAATACGGGAATGCTCTTATATCTGTCTATCAAAAGTCTATTGAGAAGCTGTTCATATAATAAAAAAGTTGACCATAATGTCTCCTAATGCGAAATATCATGGTGACGCGCATTTCCCTGCCGGGTAATTTAAAACCATTTCCCCTCCTAAATATCCGGATAGAAAAATGTTGGATATTATCCCTATCCACTTTTTTTTCTATCCGGATAAATTTTAAAACGTATACTATCCAGATAATTTTAACTCGGATAGTATCCATTTTAAAATTAAGGATAATGTTGATGCTGGCATACATTATTTTTTGATCAGTGAAAATTAAAATAATTATTTAATTTGCATTCTATTACAGAGCAATGCGTCGGTAATCCAAATGAAGGACCTAACACCGAATCAACAGTACAATATCACAGCCACGGTACTAACATCCCATCGAGAATTTGTTTACGTGGAAAACAAACCACAATTCAAAACATTGTCCGAGGATTATACACCGGGAAATATTACCAAAATTGACGTAATTGGCTTCCACATAAACCACCATAATCATGAATTGTTGGATGCTGTAGTTTCGTGGCAACCTGCACCAGGTAAGTGTTGGAATTATTCAATTTAATTGATAGGGTCTTAACAAACGTTTCAATTGCAGACAGGACATGCCACTATGAATTACTTTATCATGCGAGCCACTTGCCAGATTATCTTTCTATGGTTGTTGATGTTCAAAAGGTAAATATCTAGTTGCAAAAAACAATATAGTAAACTGTTTCGTCCTTTCAAATCCACAGGAGCTGTATAATTATACCATAACGGCCCTGGAACTTAATTCGGAGTACTACTTAGGTATCCGGGCGAAAAATATGAAAAATTCTTCAAAAGAAAGTGAATTGAAATGGCATACATTCCATACCCCTAGCTGTATAGATAGGCATGACGGCAGCAAAATATGCGGTAAGATAAGCAAATTGCGCCTTCACATGTTGTACCCAAAATAGCAATATTTCATAACCAATTTGAACACAACAAAAACGCAAGAATATAGCGAACTTTTGGTAACGGGTGTTCAATAAAAAATGAGAATGATTTTAGTGCCGTCCAGCGCTTTTGTGAGAGCATCGCGACTAAGTTGCGTCGTACGGCTGACCAGGGCCCCTTCTTCAATATTCATTGACGTTTTTTTGAAGAATGAACATTATGTTTTTAATAAAAAATACTGAATTCGTTGAAAAAAAAAACGTTTTTACTAGCTATATGACTGAAAAAATTCTAATTTTTTATTGAACACCCGTTATGTAATGTTGAATTTGGTTTGAAACTGCATGATAATAAAGTAATGAGATAAAATTATCTACAATTTACCGTTCCATTTTATTCAATATAGCACCGGAAAGTGTATTCAATGTTCACGTTAATTCAGTGTACCTTTCGGGTGACAACTATAAATTGAACATCAGCTGGGACAAACCTCGCTTCCTTCCAGATTACTACATCATAAGAATATATGACCTATATTCTGCAACAGAGGAAGATCCGGCAAAGTCAATCACACGTAATGTGAGCAGGGTGAGTAGTATACTATAATAGATTACTATTCATATAAGTATTAGAGTAGGTCACCGTTATATAGAAAAACGCAAACTTTGCCTTAGTTACCACACGAGAACAACTCTTTTTTGGTTCAATTTGGAGTTCCAAACAAAAGTGCAAAATTTGGGGACGATTGGTTGCAACCCGGCATTATACATAGCTCAATCTCATATGCGTAGTTAGAGAACGGGGGGAGGAGAGGGCGGCTTATTATACGCAGGTTTTGAATCGAAAATTGTTGTAGTGTAAATATTTAATATCCACTTGTCCATGCAGTTGTTAGTGAGGTGATGTTGTTTGAATTATTAGCAGTTGGAAACCTACTGTAGCTACAATACAAACGAATACAAATAAACAATATATCAGTAGTTCGTATGCCTCGTATGGCAGGACGGCCAAGCTTAGGCCACCCCCATATAGAAAAGACAGAAGCAGTTCTACACCAAAAACCAAAAACAGGAGAAAACGATAACTGTCTTGACGAGTTTCGTCTCAGACACAGGTACAGTCGGTTTTCGCTCGTTAGGCATCTTTAAGTGCGCTACGTTTTAGTTAGACTTCCAAGTCCAAATTTCGACTAACTTCATGCAAAAACCGGCAAACGAGTGGAGTAATGATACAGATTATTTCAATGCGATACAACGAGTTGCTTCCTTGATGGATGTCAACGATGTGGCGGAACGAGGGGTGAAGCTAATTTCTGACTCTATCAAGAAATCCACCCGAGACCCTGTTCAACAGAAATATTTTTTTTTTTTATTTATTACTTTATTTGTACAGGCTCAATCGAATAAACTTTACAGAGCCGAATTATCATTTTCGTTATACATTATTGATGTCTTATATTATATATAAGTTAAAGGAGCTGGACCGGATACTCGCGGTTGTCTCGAGGTTAGTGGAGATTTACAATTTTTTTGGATGGGAAAAGGGAGAGGGAGGTTTGAAATGTGGTTTTCGATACAAATATTTAATTAATCCTAAAACATGAACTAATTTCTATTCATCTTGAAAACAAACATTAAAAAAAAACTACACGCACAATACACAAACTAAACACAAGGTTAATAAAACTTACAATCTAAGGTTAGTATTCTTAAAGTAAACATATATGAGTTTCATAAACTCCAGATCACGTCTAGCCAAAATATCCCGAACTGGAACATTAGGTTGTCTACCTCGAGCCCGAAGGGAATCGCACAGCTCAGATCTGACTCCGCGATGCTCAGCACAAGACCAAATAATGTGATCTGCGTCCTGGTAACCTTGTCCACATTCACAGAGACTGCTGTCCTTCAGCCCAACACGGAACAAGTGAGCGTTTAACGAATAGTGATTGGACATGAGGCGAGACATCATACGAATGAAGTCTCGACCCACATCCAACCCCTTGAACCAAGGACTCTTAGACACCTTAGGGATGATCGAATATAGCCATCGTCCCAAACTCCCTTCACTCCACTTATTCTGCCAGCTGACGAGTGACTGTTGACGATAAATGAAGAAAAATTCGTTGTAGGCGATTTGTCGATCGTAAATATCGCCTTCCATAGCGCCCACCTTAGCAAGTGAGTCCGCCATCTCATTGCCCGGAATCGAGCAATGAGATGGGACCCATGCAAAGGTGATGACAAAAGATCTTAAAGATAAAGCACTTAAAAGCTCTCGTATTTTCATGAGAAAATACGAGGAGTGCTTTACCGGCCTCATGGATCGAATAGCCTCGACAGAACTGAGACTATCCGTAAAAATAAAATAGTGATCTGGTGCAAGTGAGGCGATCGTTTCTAGCGTATAGTGTATTGCCGCCAGTTCAGCAACATATACGGAACAAGGAGCTTGAAGCATTCGAGAGGCGCTATGAATTTCGTTAAAAATAAGAAACCAGCGGACGACTCTATTAGTGATCCATCTGTGAAGAACGATCTTGCGGAATCAACTTGGCCAAACTTTGCAGCGTAAATTGACGGAACAATCATGGGACGATGATGTTCTGGGATCCCACGAATCTCCCGCGTCATAGATAAATCAAAACTAACTGAATTGCCGAAGTCAGAGAAGCATACACGATGAGGATTATGCTGTGAAGGGCTGACATCCTGTGTTATGTACACGTAGTACAATGGCATAAAACGAGTTTGGGGGTTTAGCTCAAGAAGCTTCTCAAAGTTTGCAATCACCAGTGGGTTCATAATTTCACAACGGGTGAGGAGCCTGAGGGATAATTCCGAAAACCGATCAGATAGTGGCAACATGCCCGCTAACACTTCGAGACTCATCGTATGAGTCGAGTGCATGCATCCTAACGCGATACGAAGACAGCGATACTGGATCCGTTCCAGTTTGATGATGTGCGTTTTAGCCGCCGACTGGAAGCAAAAACTACCGTACTCTAAAACCGATAAAATCGTTGTCCGGTACAACGTCAGAAGATCTTGTGGATGGGCTCCCCACCACGTTCCGGTAATTGATCGAAGGAAATTGATCCTTAGTTGGCATTTTTGTCTCAGATACTCAATGTGGGATCTCCAGGTGCATTTGGAATCGAACCAGACCCCGAGATATTTAAAACACATGGAATGAGTGATCGGTTTACCCAAAAGTTGAAGCTTCGGTTGTGCTGGGCTATGCTTCCTAGAAAAAACGACCAACTCAGTTTTCTCCGTGGAGAATTCGATACCTAGCTGAATAGCCCAAGTAGACAAATTGTCTAAGGTATCCTGTAAGGGTCCTTGCAGGTCGGCCTCTCTGGGCCCTGTCATAGACACAACTCCGTCATCTGCAAGTTGTCTCAGCGTGCAGTTGTCACTTAGACAATTGTCAATTTCTCTGACGTAGAAATTATACAAAAGGGGGCTTAAACATGAGCCCTGGGGGAGGCCCATGTAACTAAATCGAGAAGCTGTAGAGTTTCCATGAGAAAAGCTCATATGTTTCTCTGACAGCAAATTGTACAAAAAGTTATTAATTAATGGAGAAAGGCCACATGCGTGGAGTTTGTCTGAAAGGACCTCAACCGATACTGAATCAAAAGCCCCCTTAATATCCAAGAACACAGAAGCCATTTGCTCTTTTTTAGCAAAAGCCAACTGAATTTCGGTGGAAACGCGAGACAGTCGTTCGTTCCCTTGCCCCTACGGAAACCAAATTGAGTATCTGAGAGTAGGTGGTTCGTCTCAACCCATTTGTCCAAGCGAAAAAGGATCATTTTCTCCAACAATTTTCGAATGCACGATAACATCGCGATGGGACGATACGAGTTATGATCTGAAGCCGGTTTTCCAGGCTTTTTAATGGCTATAACTCTCACTTGCCTCCAATCATCCGGAACAATATTGAGCTCTAGGAACTGACAAAACAAGTTCAACATGCGCCTCTTAGCGACGTCTGGGAGGTTCTTCAACAAGTTGAACTTGATTCTATCAGCCCCCGGAGCCGAATTGCCACACGAAAGGAGCGCGAGTGAGAGCTCCAGCATTGAAAAAGGCTGGCTGATCTCGTCTACCGAATTCGTCGTTTCGCGAGGAATCATCCGTGCCGGCACGGAATCAGGACATACTTTTCGTGCGAACTTAAGAATCCAACGATCTGAGTACTCCTCGCTCTCGTTGTTTGAAGACCGGTTACGCATCCTTCGCGCCGCATTCCACAGCGTATTCATCGACGTTTCGCGCGATAATCCGTCCACGAATTGCCGCCAGTATCCGCGTTTCTTGGCTTTGATGAGGCTTTTGAGTTCGCGTTCAAGAGTCGAGTACGCTTCGAAATACACGGGTGTTCCACGTTTCCGGAAAAGCTTAAACGCGTCGGACTTTTTACGATAAACCTCTGTGCATTGGTGGTCCCACCAAGGGGAAGGAGGTTTCCTACGCAAAGACGTTCCAGGAACCGACCGAGTTTGAGCTCGAAGCGCGCTGTCCAAGATCAGATTGGAGAGGAAGTTATATTCCTCCAACGGTGGAAGCCCTTCTACCGACGACACGGCTTCCTCTATCGCGGTCTTGAACGTTGTCCAATCGATATTACGGGTGAGGTCGTACGCGACGTTAACGGATTCCGACGGATTGAACCCACTGGCAATCGAAATTTTGATCGGCAAGTGATCACTACCGTGGGGATCTTGGATCACATTCCACGTGCAATCCAACGATAATGAGTTAGAGCAAAGTGTGAGGTCTAATTTACTTCCATTCGAGGATGGTCCAGCCAAACGTGTTACTTCTCCATTGTTAAGTATTGTCATATTTAAGTTATCACAGAGGTCATATATAAAAGTAGAACGGTTGTCATCATACAGTTCCCCCCAGCCTGTACCGTGGGAATTGAAATCTCCCATGATCAACCGTGGAGCAGGAAGTACCGAACATATATCTGAAAGTTGTTTTCGATTAACAACGGCTCTAGGAGGAATATAAACAGAAGCAATACAAAGGCTCTTACCTTTAAAAATAGCCTGACATGCGATAACTTCAATACCTGGAAATTGTGGAAGATTCACTCTATAGAAGGAATGGCACTTTTTGATCCCCAAAAGTACCCCTCCTCCACGCGAATCCTCACGATCCAGTCGAATAATGTTAAAATCATAAAAAGGAAGATCAATATCTGAAGAGAGCCAAGTTTCACAAAGAGCAAATGCATCACAATCATTATTGTGAACTAAAAACTTAAAAGAGTCTAATTTAGGAATAAGACTTCGACAATTCCACTGTAGAATAGTGATCAAATCCCCGACCTCGTTTGGAAAATTATCCATCGAAGGAAATGATTGCTGCAAGGAGGGGCCATTTCAATGTCAATTGCTTTAAGAGGGTCTTCACAGTAGGAAGCATTGCCAGAACAATGCTTTTCAGAGGATCAGAAATATTCAGGTACTTGAGGATATCGTCCACAATTTTATCAAATGAGAACAACCCAGATGAAGAAGGGGCTTCTGTTCTTAAAAATGGGACATCAGGGGTTTTGGATGTCCCCGG